CCACCACCACCACCACCACCTACTACCACTGCGACAGCCACTATCACTACCGCTTCCACCAAGAACTGCCGGCGCTGGTGCTACTGTTGCTGGTGTTGGTGCTGTTGCCATGGAGGCGGCGACAACGACAACGACCACGACTACTGAATCAATTCTACGATGGCAAATACCTACGACGGGGACTGCTTCTACTGCCACGAAACCTAGCCGGACCTAGCCACTGGTGCTACATCAAGCGTCCCAGGGAAAAGCCCCTGTGGAGGGAATGCTTGCAACCATGGGCTGTGCTGGAAGTGGCACAGGAAGCACTTCTAGGAATCACTGGGATCGGCTGTTACTGAATCGGCTGTTTTTCGTTGAACTTCTCGTCCCTTTCTGCCAGGCGTCTGATCGAGTGCCTGCTGTGCAGCCACCTCCTCGTCCGTGGCCAACTCCAGTGTCGTCGTGGTGCTGGTAGTGGAGGGCCTGGCTAAGAGGCTGAAGGCCACCTAATAACTGAGTGATGGCTGGCCGCAGTTTTGAGATATTCTCGACTTGTGATTTCACGTAGTCTGAGAAGCAGGTTTGAATAGGTGCTCAGGACCTCAAGCTCAAAGGCGCCCCGACGCCTTTCTGTCAAAAGCACATTCATGCGAGAGCTCTGGACGCTCTCGTTGGCTACACCACATCCACAATGACATGCTGGAAGTGGTCCAAGTCTTGCCGCTGTGATTGATTACTGACTGATAACGTCATGAGGATCGTGACAACGGCAGGGGCACGACAGGAACTGATCAAGCATGCCCACTAAGCACCTCCAAAACAGCTCCGGGCCAGTGTGGCCCACAATCCGCCCACAAGATTCCTTCAAGCCGAGCCAGGGGCAGGGAAGGTGTTCAAAACGGCCTCGCCTTAAGTAGGTGCGGTCAAAACTTGTGCCGTGCTGAGGCTTTGCAGATTCTGTAGCTGATCGTTTGGCTAGAACTACAGATTTTGTGAATAAACATGGCCAGGCATCGTAGAAGGATTCGGAAGCCGTGAAATTGTGAAGGCCATATTTACAAACAGTTCCACTGTACTGGTCGACGGATCCGGCCAGTACATCCATGACATGCAGGTAAACTTTGATCTGGGAATGGGTGTCGTAGTGCATCATGTCCTTGGAATAGAGATTTTTGGCCGTACACTGGAATCCAGGAGCTGCAATGACATAGGTGTCATAGACCTTGTCTTCGTTCTTCTTTAGCCACAAGCTCGCCAAGGCAGCATGTGAACCGCCCAGACCCATGCCAGCAAGGTATACGGTTTTCACGAATTGCTGGCCTTCTGCCAAGACTGTCCGCACCAGGTTCTTGATCAAAGGCCAGAGACCTTCGGTGTCCAGGTAGCTCTGGGCAATCCCTGATCCAACGCTGACCGTTTCTGCATCCACGAAGGGAGAATATGCTTCGTTGAGGAACGCACAACGGATGGGAAACTCGTGCTCCTGATCTGCTTTCCTCGGCTGGGGCTTGGGATTCGTACTGTCGCTACCGGCAACGGCAGAAGTAGCAGCACCAGCTGCGCTTGTTTTCGAAGGTGCTCTAATGCCATGTCTACACCGTTTTTGCTTTTCGCTGAAGGCACCTCCAAGTGATGTTCGATGAGGCCGCCTGCTGAGCGCTGATGAGCCACTGCTCTCGTAGAGAGTCCCTGGGCTTCTGAACTCGGATGTAAGGTGCACAGACCAGAGTTTCAAGAAAGCGATGACATCTTCTCTCTCTCTCTCTCTCTCTCTCTCTCCCTCTCCCTCTCTCTCTCGCGGCTGCAGTGGCCATCCGGTCTACCGGCACAGGAAGTGAAAGGACTATGTCCGGCGGGTTCAGGCGTGTGGTCAGGAAGCTTGAAGCTTGACGTCGTTCCAAGTGGCTCAAACTGCTCCAGCAACCAGGCCTCACGTCACGACGCATCGAAAACGCTACAAGTTGAACAGCACCACCCAACAAGCACTCCAAACGCATCAACAAATATTGTAATGTAGTAGCAGTAGTAGTACTGGTGGTAGTAGTGGCAGTCGCAGGAGCAGCAGCAGCGGCGACAGCGGCAGCAGCAGTAGCAGTACTTAAAGTTGCAGATGCTGTAGTAGCCGTAGCACGCGGAGGAGCAGCAGCAGCAACAGCAGCAGCCACAGGAGTTGAAGTACAGCAGTAACTGTGATTCTGAGGCAACGAAGAATGATGTGTAAGCGGTTGTGGATACGTTCGACGGGTTGTAACCTTCTTTATGCTGAGAACCCCAGAAGGCATTTGGCGTCGCAGTTTATATGTTAAACTTAAACCCAACGATCCGAGCCTCTATGCGACCCGAAGCCTCTGAACCCAGAACCCCTATAAAGAAAAAAAGACTCCTCGAGCCGCAAATCCCTGAACCCCCCACCCCACTACAACCCTTCAACCTTAAAAAAAAAAACGCTCATTCGCCTTGTTCTGCCAAATGAGATTTGCCAGGTCCGAGGTTCCCAGCCCCGCCTGCAGCACCTTCCCGCATTGGCCGAGATTCGACTCTTGCAAGGCTTCATGTCATGCTTGCACGAACGTGACCGTCAACCTAGCCCCGGACACGTGCAAAAAAACACGTGCAACTGCAGGAATCCACGTAGTCACTTGTGTCGGCTCTGAGGGCTAGAGAGAGGGTTCAGCCTGGTCAGCAATACCTTGGTTAGGCTTCTGCGTTCAAACTCTTGCTTAGGCCGCAAGGCCTCTCAGGAGTGTCGTTGTCGCTTCCGTATGGTAGCAGTTGCTGAGATACTGAGATGCTGTAGCAGGAGGAAGAAAGAGTGTAGCGACCTTTCTGCCTCGCACTGGGCCACAACGAGAGGAAACCACCAAACGCTTGAAGCCCAGTGTTTTGCTTCGGCCTAAGCCCCAGCAAGCTCAAGCACTGCTCTCTGACGAGGCACGAGGATGATTGAGTCGGTGTCCTCATACGTGGACATGGCCACGCCCTGGCTCCAGTCGAAGCGGTAAGGGTATACCACGACAAAATGCGCGCTTCATGCAGAGTCATTGCGGCACCTCGAAATTTGGTCTCGGCTTTGGGATCACGGCCCCAAACCCTCAATCCGAAGTTGTGGAATGATCATCTGGATGAAGCTGCATATGCCAGTCCTCTTCGGCTTGTCGATGCTAGTCCCGGTCAAGTCGGAACAAACATACTACTAGCAAAAGCACGAATAGCACCAAGCAAGTGGTTCATTCTACGGACTCACTAGCTGCACCTTCGGTGCTACGACTTTTCTAGACCACTCTGCCACTGTTCCTACAAGTGAATTATACCCTACTGCCAATAGCGGCCAATACCCCCGGGACCTCATCTCCAAAGCAGCGCTCCCCGATCTGTCCAGCCTGCGCACCTTACGGCCATCTAACTTTCGGTGGCTCCTCGGGATTCTGCAGGATTCCCGGATCTTTTACCACGGTCGGTGTAGCAGCAACTTACATTGCATGGAGAGAACTTTGTCTAAGGAAGAGGCTTGCCACCTCGGCCCTGCCGTGTTATGGGTCCCTGGCAAAAACCCTAAATGAGCTACTGCTAGCTCCTACGAGTAAGCGCTCCGTCTACCTGAGTCTGCCTCACTATGTCCATTCTGGGCCAAACGGGCACGTGCAGCTCTCCTTGCCCCCGCGCACACACACACACAGAGACACACACACACACATCGCGGACATCATATCCCATACAGACATCCATCCATCCATGCACCTTACATGGCATACAAGCATGCACGGGAAATTACATAGGCGTGTGCCGCTGAAAAAGGTAGCTCTCTGCAAAGAGACATGGCATTCAAGTTGGCCTTGAACGGTTCGCCTTGCAGCTCCTCGACATTCTAAGCTCAGAGCAGCCGTCAGATCGAGCCCCAATGAAGCCGTCACGAATCCAAGCAGTTCCGGCAGCCTCAGTCTAGCCGAAACCATGCTTTTCCGATGTTTCGGCCATACGGGTCCGACTGGGGAGATCCCTGGGGCCGCCACCGTCCGTAGCTCCGTCCGGCTTTCCGTCAGAGCTGTGGCTTCCTCAGAGGCAGTGGTAGTAGCAGTACTAGACTAGTCAGACTATAGTAGTCGCAGGAGGAGGAGGAGTAGTGGTGGTAGTAGTAGTAGCAGCAGCAGCAGCAGCAGCAGGAGTAGTAGTTGTTGTTGTTGCTGTTGTTGTCGTTGTTGTTGTCGTGCATTAGATACTAGCAAGCGCGGTTCAATCCTCGCTCTGTTTCGGAAAGGTTTGCTGCTCAAGTCTCTTAAGTACTTGTGGCTGTATGCCGCTTTCACCCGACAATGTGTGCAGCTTCTGCGGTCACATCGCGTCATATTAGAGCAACAGCGGTTTCAATCTGGTGCCTTCTATGTTTACATAATTAGCTCAAATCGCATGCGCCACTCTCCCTCCCCTTGCCCCAGCGGATTGCAAACTGGATTGCTGCCAAATGTCCATACTAACCAAATTTGTTCCGAAAGAAGCGTTGACCGATTCGATGCACTCGGAGGCGTTGTTGACGATAGAGGTGTTCTCACACCAATTAATGAAAAAGCTGTCGCCCTTGTCGTAGACTTCCTTGAACTGTGCGTAGTTGAACGTAACCTTCAAGCAAGCTTTCTAGGAGCACAGCACAGGTCCTCGAGGTGGAACCAAACAAAGCACTGCAGTGCCAAGCCCGAGCAACATTCTGGTACTCTGCTAGGGGTATGCTTGCCTCAGCTCGGGTGTCAAACTCTTCCATGCAGGACACTGTGGAAAGAAAGTCTTGAGGACAACGTGGTTCAGATTGCAGCCAAGCTTCTGCAAGGAGAGCCGTAACCTGAGTCGCATGCGCTGCCATTCCCTTATTCCGCCAAATGCCTCTGAAGTACGCGTGGGTTGTCAATCATTCGGAACAACCGTGATCACCGTCTATGCTCAACATGAGCTGTATATACATCTATAGACTCGCGAACTTCGGCACAGACCAGATGCGAGGAGTAACAGGCACCGTTTTAGGAGCGACGGAAACCGATTCGCACACGTGTGACAGGAACACGCCAAACGACCAGTGTAACAGGAACGACCACCGGATACCAGCAAGGCGTGGGCGCTCGCAAACTAGGGGCCGAAAACCGGTTCCCCGCGGGCATGCAAAGGAGGTTGTTTGAAGATGGCTTCTACATCCCTTTATAGTACTATGTATACGGACCCTAAAGCACGCCTCTTCATACTACAAGGGGCTGGGCCCGTGCTGTACAGGAACCAGCTAGTCTGTGTTGCGATGTCGGGTCTTGGGACTGTTGCACGGCTGGGCAGCAGGTTCCGTTACGGTAAATACTCACGCCATGCTCCCAATGACAAGGCACAGACCGGACCTTGTCCCGGGGCGTGCGGAATGCGAATGGTGCAGAGGCCGCCTCTTTCAGGATGTTGGAGCGCGGTACGCTGGAGAGGAGTCCTTGCTTGGTCTTCGTGGCTCCTCTAGCTTTGTTGGCAAAAGCCCCCGAAATAACACTCGATCCGACAAGCAAAAAAGCCGGGGATCTTCCACGCAAGGCGTGGGCGGGGGACATCTCGTCGAAGTAGCCTGGGCCAGCCGCAAGGATCGCGAGAGACTGAGGTGTCAAGCTCCGGATGATTTCAATCGCAGCACTGGGAAATATCCAAAAGTGATCATCTGCACGGTTCGTGTTTTTATGAGTATATACCAGGCTTCTGATTCCGTGTTCAGCCTGCATCAAGCCTTTCTCCCCATCTTCGGAACTCCAAAAGCCGAAATTCACACGAGTGCTGAGAGTTCAGCTTGCATACTGCAGCGAGATGCATGGTGGAGATTGCGATAGGACTCGAATGACTATGGCACTAACGGCAATGAAGTTACGAGTAAGAACCACCATGCTGATGACGGCGAGAAGGAGGATACTAGGGACTGCCAGCAGCGGCGCTCACTAGAACAGCAGCATGAAAAGTGCGCGAACGGCTGAAAAAGCAAGCAGTAGTACGAAGAAACTTCCTGAGCCCAAAGACGGCTTTGGAAGTCCTCGGGCACCCTTGTCTTCGTCCACCTGCCGAGGTCTTGGCTCCCGGCGGTCAGGGGATTGCAAGGTCAGGACTGTAGAAAGGGATTTGGTAGTCCATTATGGTGTACTATAGTCTAGTACAGTATAGCGTGGTCTATTATGGTAAACTATAGTATAGGGTTTCCTTCTGGGGCAAGAATGAGAACTTGAGCACGCATCGTGCAGCACAATAGGCACTCATGTAGAATCGTACTGGCTTCTCATGCCTTGCTGCAGCCTACATGAACTGGCTCCGTGGCCCATCACATGCTGTTTTCTGCTGGAATTACGACGGGATGCCTCCAAGAAGGTTTCTTTTGCCGCATGAAGCCTGCAGGGAGCTAGTTGCAAACGTCGTGCTGCGTGGAATCACCGCAAATGCCCACTAGGTCTCATCCGAGCCTTCCTTCGGGCCACGCGACACTTTGTGCGCAATGTGAACCTTGGCTTCATCACTCCTGGAGTCACGGCCCACTACGCGCCCAAACTGCTGAGGTGAGGGCACTTTTCAGGCGCAGGCCCGCAACGTCAACCTCCGGAAGGAGGCCATGCTCGTAGAGGTCGAAGAGTGAAGCAGCTTCGAACCTTTGCGTCCTGGAGCCCATCCCAAACTGCAACAAAGCGTGACCACCATAACTGAGGTCCAAACCGGGCGACGACATGAGGCAGCAAAGCGAAGAAAGCAAGAACCTGAGATTACACCCCCGCCGCTGGTGCAAGTAATGCAATTGAGATGCTCAGCCGTCGTTTGCACCCAGCAGAACCGGCAAAAGCCACAGCAAGTAAACGCACTATCCAGCTGGTCGAACTGTCGTCAAAGCAACTCGTCTCATCAAATCGCAGGGCACTTGTCACAGGCTCCGATGGCTCATCCCTCCGGGAGGACGCTACGGCCTGCGTCAGACAGAAGGCTCAAGCTGGAGGGGCGCGCTGCTTGGTTCTAGATTCACCTAGATTCTACTTAGTAGTCCCTTGCAGTTCCATACACGTCCAAGTCGGTTTGGCTTTCTTTTTGCGATGCCATGGGCCAGAGCCGGAGAGCTGCCGTAGAACTCTCTCTGGGTGGAGCCTCTAGAGCTGCATTTGGTACATATGGTACTCTAACTATATGCTATATTATATTATACTATATTACATTATATAATACTATACTATGTTATATTATATTATACTATATTATATTATATTATATCATATTATATTATAGGTTCTGGCTTAGCTGCGGTGTTAGCCAAAGCAGCACGCGAAATTCCAATATTACCCAATGCTTGGTTGAATGTTGAAGGCTACAGCTCGTGTCGAAGCACCACAACAGAAGCAGCACATCCATCTTCATGACGAGTGTATGAAAGACACTGATATAACGAGTGCATCTCGTGAGTGCCGCTACTTGACCGTCGCCCTCTTCAGAAATCGAGCAGTTAATCCTATGACAAAGCTACAGCGAGCATTCTCCATACCAAATAGCGCAGGAATTCGGAACATGATGCGCTCAAGTCGCTCAGGGTATCTAGGACCTAGGACCTAGGAGTTGAGGCTGCGCGGCCTGCGAGGCCCTGGCCCTCTTGGCGTCTACATCGCCGGATGCTGCGGGAGCCAAACCCGCTGCATGGGCACGGATTCAAATCCAAGTATTCAAGAAGAAAGGCTCTGAAACTCCTCCTGGGCTCCACAACCAATGGGGCTGATACAGGGCCAATCTAGCAGTCAGATTGATGAGGATTCGATGTGTGAAGAAACCGAGGCCGCCCCAAGTATCTAAGCCTGTTCAGGCCTGCAACTCGTCATTAGACGCGAGCAAAAGTGAAAGAACATCCACAGACTAGGTACCAAGCAGTCTGCTTTTTCCCCGGCGCGACATGCACATCCGGCAGGAGTGTCGGACGCTAGGCGCGAAGACCTTTCCTCGCGGCGCCCTGTTGACTCTGTGACGTATATGTGTTCCTGTCTCAGACCCGGGATCCCTCCTTGGATTGGGACGCTTTATCCTGTCTCCTAGGAGTATTGCTCAGTCTGGTGTCTGAGGCCCCTGATGTTGAGACATGTCCGTCTCTCTCCGTCTCCTCTGGTCTGTTAATGGAGACGTTTGGAGGGCCAAGAGAGTGCGAAGCACTGTGATGTGCGGTTGCGAAAAGAGTTCACGGGCCGGGCGCGACTCCGCGAAGCGCCAAAGCCTCGCAAAGACGCTCAAAAGCCCAAATGGTGCTGATGATGTCCTCCAGTGCATGTGGCCTAAACTTGGAAGCAGTTTCTCCCCCTCCGCTCGTATTTACATCCATTCGTCTATGTAATATACTGTGTCCTAATTACATCTTTCTCCGCCCTGCTGATTCGATGACTTGCGCCACAGTCGAGAAGTCATGCACGAGGTTGACCATCTGCACTCCAGCAGCCGGCGGTTTAGACGTTCATACACACCGGAGTGCCGGAAAAGCAAACATTGAAGGCTCTTGCCTGTGCAGATGCGCCAATGCCGAGTAGGAACTCTGGAGGCCGACGCCACGTAGATGGGAACTGACAAAGCCCTTCGGGCTAAGGAACGGCCGCAGATTGCAAACGAGCAACTCCGACCATCTCGGAGAAGCTTCGGTTGTTGCATGTAGAGATAGCCATCTGAAGCCCTACCCCTTCCGGGCTGAACAGTCATTGAACATGACATCTCATGGCGATGAATCTTCCCTTTCCAGGTCTGCGGTGAGTGTGGGGGCCTCCTCATGCCTGCGCCACTAGATGTGGCTCTGTTGATCGCCCGAGCATGTTGACTCGGTCTGGCATTGGTCACTTCTGATCATTAAAGACTTAGATAGACTACGGAGGATCAGCCTGCAAGGTCGCAGGTCTGACGGAAACACTTTGAGTCAAGGTCCTTGCGGAGCTTGTCGAGACCTCTCTGCACCGCCCAATAGAAGCTGCTGCTGGTGTCCTGCCACGGCAAGCAGCTCACGGCGAACCAATTCGGTGGATCCGGACAGCCCTCTCCACAAAACACCGTTCCACGCGGCTATGTAAATTGTTTGGTGTCCGTTCCAGCTTGCTCGGAGTTCCAGAGATCAAGCCCCAGAGCTACTCAACGCCTGTGCGAAACTGTCAAGCCCGTACTTCTGACGCCCATATTTGGGAGGATCAGCGGCGAATATTGGGTGATATGTCTTTTCTCCATCGGTGCCGGGCTCTCGGAGTCCTGGTACGTCGCGAGGCTGGCCAGTGCGCCGAATTTCAGCTTCGCCAAGTGGCGATCCAGCTTCCTGTCCAGCAAACTTTTTGAACATAACATGAGTCCTCCATGATTGGCTTCGTCACTCCTCGTCTTCAGTAGCATAAAGCCTGCTAAAACGAGCTCTTTGTCTGGAATTCGGCTTCGGCCCAACCTGGCCTGTGGCGAGCCTTGCCGGTTTCCACAGCGCAGCCTTGGCGCTTGGCCTGAGATCTCCGGAGTCTGGAGCTTCGACGTAGATGTAAACACTCATGGGTGTGTACACACAAAACAAGATATGGAACATACATATATACATACATACATACATACATACATACATACATACATATACACATATGGGTATCTTATATATGTATATATATATAATTATATCTTATTTATATATACATACTTACATACATACGTACATACATATTCTTTTTTAGCTGTCATGCACATACCGTGTTTCTGCAATCGGTTTGGGGAGTTTCTGACACTTGGAATCGAACTGCGATCTGGTCACTACGAAGTTCATGCTTCCAGCTTCTATGTCCTGGAATGCCGCACGGCAATGTTCTGCCCTGGATGTTGCCTGCCCCTGCACTAGCATGTGCTGTCTCTTGCAACACTCGGGCACGGCATGATCGCAGGACAGTCTGGCATGGTTTGGTTTTCTCCGTTATGCCACTCCGGCCGAACTGGACAGTTGGACCCGTCTTGGGAGCATACATTGTTCACAATGTTGCCCAAACAAGGTGACCGATCCAGGCCGTCAAATTGGAGACCGATTGCTTCACTGAAGGTGTTGTATAAAGTCTTTTCGAAGATGGTGCACGCACGGCTACAACATGTCCTTGATACACAGCAGTCTTTCGACCAACCAGGTTTTCGGCAACGCACTGGTGTAGAGCATGCCTTATGCGTGTTTG